TATACATATAGAGCCTACAGAAGTAGTGTGAAGAGTGCTAGAGGTATGAAACTGCCAGTCACCATGCAGTGTTGATTCTTTGTCTACTGTCTATATCTATAATCACTCTATCAATGATAATGAACATTTTACTCTCATAAATTGAGCAAATTTTTATTTGTTATAATGGATGAAGTATATATAGCAAAAGAAATATGACCCTATTAAAAATGTAGATAACTCTCATGACCTAGTAAAATTTTCAATGCTCCAAAACCTGAATTAAATATTCATGATTTGGAATGCAATCAAAAAAGTTTTCAAGGCTAATTTTAGAAAAATTTGGTTGTTGCCTAAGGCAAGTCATTATTAAATTTCACTTGGTCTCATTAGCAGAACATTGATTTCTTATTGACAAAAATATTCCTTAATTTAGCACAGCTCTAAAGTCGCACAGCATTGGCTAATTAAAGATATTGAATTAGGACCATAACATCTATTTAATGTTCAGTAAAAGATTATTATTTTAAATTAAACTATTTTTTAAGTTGTAGCTCATTTGTCATTTTGAAGTTATTGAATTTTTTTTTTTTAAGAATACTTTTGTTTTAATGAAAAACAAACATTGTTAACATTAGTATTCACTTTAGTCTTTTGGGATGTGATATTCAATCAACACCATCACTTGACAAGACACCAGAAGTGTTGAATCAAAATGGCTATTTTTATAGTAATGTTATAACATAGATGTGTTATAATTTTTGATATATAAAAGTCCATTGGTATATAATTCAAGTGGATCCTAGTAATATAAAATATTAAAACTATACCTCCACATGAGATTATTTTGGATTTTATGGTTTACTAATATATGGTGTGTGTGTATGACAAAGTGTAAAAAGTTTTTAAAGTTTGTTTATGTTGGTGTGACTGCAAATAAATGGGAGATGCTGAAATTTTTATTTTTTATTTTATTTTTTTGTATTTTGGTTATATAACTAGCTGATTTCATTTAGATTTTTTTGTTTCTATCACCTTTATTGTTAAATATTTCACATTGTGATAATTGTCTTTGTGAATATTGTAAAATATTACTTTTGAGTTCATATAATTTTTTATTTAAATTTTTTGAGCTTTTTCAATATATTCTTTCTGGCAATCATTACAGATAAGAGTAAATTCCTCTTTTAAGTTTTAGCTTATTTTGTATTGATTAAGTCTATTATTGTTTTAGATGTAGTTGTAACAAATTTTATATTGAGTTTAGATAAATTCTTTTCAGTTGTAGTTGTAATAGTAGGTAGAACACTTTTTGATTCATTTGGTTTGTCAGGAGGGGTCCCATTTTTTTTTATTCTGGAATATTTTGTCTTGTTTTGCATTGAATATGAAATAGGGGGATTGGAGGAGTTTGAAAGTATTTTCAATATATTTCTCCTCTTCATGTAAATATTGAGGTCTACAAATTTTGAGTGATCTTAAATAGAATCTGATGATTATTCTGAATTTTATTTTGTTGTGATGGGGATAGAAATTTATTAGTTGATTTTTGTTGGGCACTATTTTAAGGTGCTATTAATGCAGTGTAGCATGATATCTAGAAAAGGTAAAGTATTGTTTTCTTCCATTTCTTATGTAAATTCTATTCTATGTTCAGTTTTGTTTACTTAATCAACAAGAACAGGTAAATCAGCACCACGGGAATATATTGATAGCGCATCATCAGCATATCATAAATAACTTTAGGTAAAATATTTTGGGTAGGACCAGATTTGAGAAATTCTAAGAAAATACATGCCATCACACCTAAGAGGCAATCCCATTGGTAATTCAAATTTTTGTTTATAAAAATTATTATTAAATGGGAAATAGCATTGATTAGTGATGAGACTGCAGATTTTTATTATTTTATCTATTGGTAGGAAGAGATTTGTTTTTGATTGTATTAGATGCTTTTTTTAAGAAATTTAAACATTTATCAATATGTTATATAACCAAAACATAAAAAAAAATGTTAAATTAAATTTAAAATACCCAGCATCTCTTGTGCTTGTGTAGTCGCACCAATATAAACAAAGTTAGTCTGATAAAGGTTGGAATGCACTAAAAAAAAAAACTTTTTCCACTTTGTGATACACCTGGAAAAAAAAAAATATATATATATATATATATATATATATATATATATATATATATATAAATAAATGAAATTCAAAAATACCCCATCTGAATGGCCATTTCATTCCACAAGAGCTTGTCAAAACTAAAACTTAGATAAAAAATATGAAGCCTATTTTTCTATTTTTTTTTTTTTTTTTTTTTTCATTTTTTTTTTCCTTCCTGGTTTTTATTTAAATTTGTTTTAAAAAGTTAGGTTTCATATTTATTTTATTCTATAAAATTTTAGTGTTGACAAGCTCTTGCAAAGGGAAATAGCCATTCAGATGAGGTATTTTGTTTTATTTATTTTAATATACATATATATATATTTATTATATATATATATATATATATATATATATATATATATATATATATATATGCTCTGTAATAAATACATTGAGCTCTATTTGTGGATCAGTTTTAATATTTTATATTATTAGGATTTACTTGTATTACTTACCCAAGTATTTTACCTGTGTGTGTGTATGGCCAATTTTATATATATATATATATACACACACACACACATACATATATATATATATATATATATATATATATATATATATATATATATATATATATATAGTAGTCATATGCACATGCCCAAATTCTCATAACATGTAAACAGACATGGTGAATATTTGTATCTTTTTACTTTAATCATATTCTCTTAGAATGTTTAAATTTGTTTTCTAAATCATCAACTCATTATAACCTTGTCTCTCTTTTATCTGATTAAGTTATATATTTGTAAAAAAAAAATGCTTTTATCTTATCCTTTGAAATAAGTCATTCACAAAGTTATGAATGAAAATAACCAGTTTTATTTAAATTTTGGTTTTTAGTAAGTATTGATACTTAATCTATTGTGCATTAAAACGCAAAAAGAAAAAAATTTTCAGTGATGAAGAATTTAAGTCTTGATAGAATAGGGTTATCACTTGTACAATATGTGAGATTTTGTGACTATAACAAATGAAACTGATTCCATTAATATCATTGGAAGCACTTGATTCCTCTAGATTAATGGGTTGTCATGAAAATTCTTGGCTTTTACTTTCATGGTTTGTTAAATTGATTCTTATTCTACTACATTTCTCAAAAAAAAAAAAGAACAAAATGCATTTCTGTTACAGAACGATTTTGTTCAATTATGAAACATTTCAAAAACTGTTTGATTTTTAGATTTTCTATAAAGTAAAATCCAATAAAATCTTCAATTTTGTAGATGCTTAGGATTTATAGTTTTATAAAAAGTAAATGAGTTTTCTTATTGAGGGAGAAATGTTAAAAACTTTATTTTTGTCTATCTTTAAGCATCACTTCAATTGCTATAGAATAATCTTTTAGTTGAATAAACATTTTGAACAAAGAATTAATAACTTGGAAGCATAAATGATAGAAACACTAACAATTTTCCAGTCAGTGACAATTCTGATAAAATTAAGCAAAGCCTCTTAAAAAGCATCCTACCTCCACCAAAATAGTTTGTTAGCTACACACGTTACTAGTGATTTGTTATTGTGAGATATATATGATCATTTTATCATTTGTCTTATATAAAATAAGACAAGATTAGGGATGATAGAATTTGTGAGTTGGAGATTTATTTACATGGTGCTGGTTGGTCTAACAAATGCAAAAATGAATAGAAAAATCAACCTTTGATAAGCAAAAGACCAAAATGCCTATTAAAGAACAGATATTATGCTTTTGTTCCTTCATCTCCCAAGGATGTTTTATAATTTTCTAAAATTGTTTTCTTAAGCTTACACTTATTGAAAGTAATTGTTATATTGCTTAATGTAATTTAAAATATTCCCTTCACATTTCAAAATATATTGAAATTACAAATTAAAAATTTTTAAACATAAATGGTCAATAAAAAATAAAAAAAAAAAATCCTATATAGTCCCTGAACTTTTATAATTTTTAAAGTTCTGTGATATATGAGGGTGGGCTGAAAAGTTCATATGAAGGAGTGATACCAGAGCTGTGAAATCTTGCATAAATTAATTTCAACTCTTATTAATAACTGCATTTTTTCACTTCAGGTAAACTGACATCTGATTGTTCTATTACACACTTTAAATGTAACTAGTAGTGACTTCTCTTAAAGATGGACAAAATTTGGCATCATGATATCAAGTACCTACAAAAAAAAGGGTTTGACTATAAATAAAATAGCCAATCCTATTAGCATATCCTGTGAGAGAGAGTTGAGAATATTCTGTACAATGAACTTGGCATGACAAAGGTTTCTGCTTAGTGGATACCTGATCAAGAGCGCACTAGACTGGTAACATCACAGGGAAAATCTGACATTGTTTGAACCAGAACCAGCTGGTTTCCTTGAATGTTACTAGGATGAGTGTTGGATTCCTCACTTTGAGCCAGAAACAATCCATACCGTGCAAACACCCCTCCTCACCTGCTCCAAAGAAGGCCAGTGTTGTTTCATCTGCAGAAAAGATGATGGCCTCAGTACTTTGGGATGCAAAAGGCATATCTATCATCTGTTTCCCAACATGAAAAAACACTTGACTGGGAACCAATGATGATGATGTCATATCTGCTGTTTATGACATTTTTGACCAACAAGATGAGAGCTTCTTCGTCAATGGAATCTAAGCACTGCAACATCAATGGAAGAAGTGTGTGAACCGCAAGGGAGACCATATTGAAAAATAAATCGCATTTGGTCACATTCCACAAGAGTATCTTGGTAAGCCTATGAACTTTTCAGTCAATCCTTGTAGGTTTTAAGCCATTTGTAAAGAATAAAAAATTTTGTAAATTTGTCTGCAAATTGAAAATGTACCCAACTTATTGGAAGCTTTTTGATTATTTTTCAGATCCAAAAACACACAAAACTTGGAACACAGTAGCTTTCAACCACACATCAGGAAATGTCATTCCTTCAGAGCTGAGCCCATGGCAATCAACATCAAGCTTCAAGCAGGAGAACTTGATGACTCCTTCCAACCTGTCCAATTCTGTCAAGCCACAGACCAATGCCACTGGGATGGATTCTCGGTAAGTAGTTCTTCATTAAAAAGCCCACCCACCCCTTAAGTATACATTTAAAACTTGTCTGCATAATTCTTAGGTTCTTTTCATTATTGTGTGAAGCTTTATAAAAAGCCACAAAAGGACAGTGATATTTGCTATATAATTTATGAATATGTAAACTACTCACTACAAAAATTAAATTGATGCTTGACTCCTATTGATGTTGATGTTCCAGAAAATTATATACATTCTAGTTAAAGTATTGCTGTATTTGATTCTGTGATGAGGACTTAAATTAGTATATATATATATATATTTTTTTTTTTTATTGTACTTCAGCTAATATTTTCTTTAGCATTCTTCAGGTGAGTGATGCCTCCTGTATTCCTTGATTACTGCAGAATTTCTTTACTTTTTTAATAAGAAAACTGTTTTTATGTTTACAAATCTAAACAGTAAAATTTCCTGTTCACATTAAAAATATTTAAATAGTTTAGTGGGGGCTTCTTTTTGTGAAAATATGTTGGCTCAGTGAGCTCCTTTAATTGTCATAAGTAATATAAGAAAAGGTGATATGCATTTGGTGCGATCAATTTTGACGGTTTGTTTCCTTCACTGGAATTTGTGTCAACTAGTGGATTTCATTTATTGTGCACCTGCCAGAAATTAATGTTCAGCACAGTCTGACAGGACATGGTTTTAGTTGATCTGGGTGATACTTCGACCATATGGTTCCTTTAACATCATGCAGTCTTGCTGAAAAGGGTGTAAACTTGTCAATAGAAGAAACAACACTATTAAAAAAAATTATGAACAATTTGTTTAAAAGTGAAATGTAAAAATGGTACAACAGCTAGGAGGCTATTTCATCCAATCACTTCTTTTCTACCCTTGAGGCACTGAGTAACATCCGTCACTCAGTGCCGGAAATCTGGAAATGTTAACATCTTAATGAATGACTTCTAAGGCAAATTTTCTCTAACACATAGGCACAAGCAGAGCTGCTGGTTTTCTCTGCAAGCATTCAACTCCAAGGTACTTGCTCTGATGTTCTCTGGGTAAACTGATTTCTGTGTATGCATATTTCATTTATATAGACTTTGGCCTGAAATGGACATAATTAGCTTCTCAAATAAAGAACCTCCTGTTGAATAACCCAAATGGCCATATAATAAAATGCTTTTCAATTTTGCCCTGGATTTCTCAGTTCCAAAATTTTCATAGAAATAAATGTAAATATGCCTGACAGCTAAACAAACAAACCCTAAAATTACCAAAGATCCTGCAGACTTTTAGCAAACTCATTAGTCATGTCAACTTCCTTGGGATTATAGAGATGGGCCAGGGGTGTCAGTTATGCTGAATCTTACTAAATTTTATTTAATTTAATTTCAGTTCAAACTCTTCAGAGGCCCACCTTTTTTATAAGTATTTTATAGGTTTAAATTAATATTTTAAAACCAGAATCTTTTCCATCAGATTCCAATCCAATAACCACTCTCCCATACTTTTCTCCTAATATCTCTACCCCTTTGCTTAGAATTAGTCTCTCACTTTCCATGCATTAGTATTACTCAATCAGAGCCACTTCACTGTTACAACTTTGTGTCTTGGTGACTTTAAAAGGTTGTAAATAAAAAATGGCTAGTTTTTGATAAAGTTCCAAAGATATTTTTGTTAGTGCACTGAAAATATTGAAATTGGGAGCCAAATTTGAGACAATAACATTGAGAAAATACTAAATCATTTTGTTCTTCAGATATCTTATTTGGTAATCTTACTATACATAGGCAAATTCTCATTGACTTCCATTTGTTTTTATTACATTTCTCAAAAGTATAGTTTTAACTTTGTTTTTTGTTTACTTTTCAATTTAGGGAAATTGTTGTTTTAGAAGACCCATTGGACCCTAATAACCTCCAGCACCAAACTGAGATTGTACAGAACGTGGCCTACAGTGAAGATGTGGAAACTGGACCCGATTGTCACTTATCTAAGAAACAATCTGAACTTTGTGCTGTCCCTCCTCCAAATAAAAGTCCTCGACTGAATTCTTCAGGACGCAGCCTCCTAGTTCACACACAAGCTACTCAACAGCCAAGTTTCAGTACGCAAACAAGTAATCTCACACGTACCACAGCCGACCAAATAAGTAAAGCCCTTGCACAATGGCGGGTAGAAAATGAAACCAAAGCAAGTACTTTTCCAGCCAACTTGAGTGCCAAGAATGTTAAAGTTAACTCTGGTGAAAATCTCACTTGTGACACTGTTTACTTGCTCAAGGGAGCAGATGGTATCCAGTTTACAGCTGTGTGGAATGGGCAACAATTCAAACAGTTCCCAGGTAAATCTTTTCTGAGGAACAGTGCCTTTTTTTCTTTTTTAATATCTGCAAAACCGTTTTTTACTATAAGTTTATCAAAGACAAATAGAAAAACACTAATATTTAGAAATTTTGACTAATTTCAAAATATGGATATCTTCTTTTTTTTTTTTTTTTTTTTTTTTCTAGTGTCAAGGCTGTGTTCAGCAATAAACCTGTAATGTTTTTAAATAGAATGAAGTTAATGTGTTGTTCAGAGTTTTCTTGTTTCTCTTTGTAAAAATAAACGGATAGATTTTTAGCTAAATTTGTTTCCATAACACTCTCTCCGCATTTCTTTAGATTAGTTGATGACTTCAATTCTAATGTCCATTCAATTGTGGATATTACTAGATGGATTTGAATGTTGCTGAAAACCTAAAATTATCATGAAACTGGAGATATGGAAATTGTGGCAGTAGTTATATTAGGTACCTCCACGAGATCGCTAAAAAAAGAGCATAGCATGATGAAAAAGACGCCAAACTTGACGAAAACAAAATTTTATCGTCTAAATGTTTGTTATTATTAAGAGAAAAGGTCAAAGTATTTTGGGGGTATTTTTTTCCATATTTTTAATCGTTCCTAGCACGTCCGAAATTTTCATTAAAAATCTTTTTTTTTTTTTGAGTCAGCAAAATTGACCATTTTTTTCCATTTTTAAAAAAAAACTGGAAATCTGACTTTGAAATTTTTTAAATATCAATTATCATTTTTTCAAAACTTATTTTAAGAAAATCAGAAATTATAATGTTTATTTAAAATATTTTAGAACAAAACTTAACTTAGCTTTTGTGCTAAAAAGATGTAATTTGAAAATAAAACAAAGCAGGTCATAAACTTTCGCGTCTCTTGACATGTGATGAATGATATATTTACGAATTCCATGAGGCTAATTTGTTCTACGGAAGGAGAAAAGTGAAATAATTTACATTTACGTGAACAAATTATTTACCTCGTTATTTTTAACGAAAACTTTCAGTGGTCTAATTTTTTTTTTTTTTTTTTTTTAGCTTTCACCTTTAGGTTTATGATGCTTTATGGGAAATATATTGTAAAGAAATTAAAATAAAACTGTTAAGAGTGACATTAAATTTCATATTTTTAAGAAAGGTATCTAATTAATTTATAGGTACCTTTCTTATGAAATTTTATCAGAATTGTACATAAAATACTATAATTTTATGTACATTTATTACATTTTACTGTTATTTGTATTTGCATTCATTTTATTATTAATTTTGATATTTCATTTATGGAAAAATGTCGTAACTGAGATTAATATAAAAATAAGATCATATAAATTTCATAAGATGATACTGATACTTGTAGGTACCCTTCTCAGTTGAAATTGAAAAATCAAATTAACTTCTCCACACGTGTTTTCAAAAGTAAAGGCCTTAACAGCGGAGAACAATGCTTAACTCAAATAACGCAACTTAATTATATTCTGGTTGGTCTTCCGTATTTTATAATTACAGCTCGATTATAAGCACAAAATTACATTTCTTAATTACTGGGGATCTTCTGATTAGTCAAAAATGATACAATTTACAACGCGCTAAAAAAAAGATCTATCTCATAAGGACACTTATGAAAGCCGATGTGACTTTTAACTAATTTTATAATATTTTAACAACTTAAATGTAAAATCTATTATAATTAATGAAATAACAAATAATTGTATTAAAAATTCATTTTCATCGAAAAAAATTTTTTTGCTTTCAGAAAATATTGTCCATATTCATAAAAACAACTAAAAGCAAATAAAAGCATTTGAAATTAAATAATATCTTTGTTTTATTGAGTTTTGTATGTTACAATTCAGAGCTGATTTTTTCAGGTACTGCGTATCCAATTAAAAAAAAAAAAAAAACATGATTTGCATTCCTCAAAGCCCTGTGCTTTTAATTATTGTAATCACTAAAACCGATGCGATCGAATTTCTAGCGTTTTCATAAAATTAGTTAGGGGGGGGTAATAAATATTTAAAAAAATATTTCTACCATGACTTTAATAAAAAAAAACATATTTATAATAATTTCGATCATCTGTGAATAGTTCCTGAAAGTTTCATTAACATCCGATAATTATTTCTATTTTTGCACGATTTTTCAAATTAATGTGTGTCATACCAAAAAAACGTGCTAAAAATTGTCTATGTTATTTACTAGTTCCGCTGATACAAAATAGAAAAAGGTTTTTTTAATCAAAATTTAGAATGTTCTAAAAAGAAGGAAAATTTTTTAAAATAATAAAAAAAAAAACTTTGGTCTTTCCTCTTAATAATAACTTAAGCATTTAGACAATAAAATTTAGTTTTCGGCAAGGTTGGCGTCTTTTTCATCAAGCTATGCTCTTTTTTTAGCGATTTTGTGGAGGTACCTAAGTTATATTTTTGATCCTACCAATTTCACTTAACTTTGTTTTTCCATTTTCATGATTCTTATTTTTTCTACTTAATTTTGAGTGCTTATTTGTTTTTTCCCTATCAGCTGGTAGATTGACAATATGAAATGAAATCTTACAAATGACTTAAACTCTGCATTTTTGGCTCTTGGCAGAAACATCAACCACAGTGTCCAATGTGAACAGTAACAATGGCAAACATGTTTTCAGTCCAGACAATATGACAAATAAATTTAAACACACAGACAATAAAACAGTGTGTTTTAAAGGGAAGAGGATGAAAATCTTCCTATTTTGATGAGAAAAAAAATAAAAACCACAAAAGAAAAAAAACATCATTTACAGGTCAAATCCGAGGTATTTTTTTTTTTTTTTTCCTCCCCTCACTCAATTTTGATATCATTGTCAATTTTTGTAAACTGAAAAGTAATTTTATAATAAGAATTAATAGTGGCGAGAAATATATAAATACATTAACTTTATTTAAATGTTGTGAATGTCTTCAGATTGATTAACATCTTTTTATTTAAGTAGGTGTCTGTTTTGTAGCTAAAAAGATGACAATGTTCACTTCTGAGCTTACAAGCTCATAACATATCTTGTTTGTTCTATATATTTGTCAATATAGAAAAGTATAATTGCGTTAAATAGGATTTTTACATGCTGGAATCTGATTGATATCATATTAGAATTGACCAGCCTGACACATTTTAATTTGAGACGGTGTGTCTGCTTTTGACTGCTTATAGTTCAGAATATGCAAACAGTTTCTGGTCCTTCTGAAACTAATTACATTGAATATCTCCTTAGACATTCCCCTATCTCCCTGGAATCCACTTAAGCTGCCAGATTAATTTTAATCAAGTTTTTTTTTTTTTTTTTTTTTTTTTTCTTAAACTTTCTGACACTACAACTCTTCAAATATTAAATGAATTTGTTGATGGGATTAATTGAAAAGAAAAAACACGAGTTCATATTTCTATATATATAAAAAAAAAAAACTTCATAATCATTTGTTACATGTTCTCAAATTTTAACTATTTTCTCAATTTGAAATTCTTGACTCATCTCAAGAAACTCTATACTTTAATATAAATAAAAAATATGCTTGCTTATATTTGTGCTACCTTAAAACTTTCATACTTCTAACATCAATTTACCTTTTTTCTTTTTGCATGCTTTTTCGAATGTTCTTTGCTTTTATATTTTTTATATATTTATTTTCCTGCAACTTTGAAATTCTCCTATCCAAAAATATCCTTAGGGTAGGCTTTTATTTTACATTCTGTGATTTGGAAATCATTGACTTAAATTTGCAACATTTTCTGGGGGAGGGTTCTGAAATCTGCTGCAGCTTGTCCCAGATTGAACAGTGACAGGATTCTTTATCCTTCCAACTGGCTTTGAAGTGGTGTGTCAGCCTGGTCAACTCTGTGCTTTGCCTTGCAGTTTATGTCAAGCAATGTCCTTTCTTGCAGAGTGCAGAAATCTGGGCCCTGTCTACAGACCTTCCTAGTTCCTTGCAGAAAGTGGGGTCACACTCAAGTGATGGCCATGAAAAGGTGATCAATTGTTGTCCTCTATCTACACTTGCACTCACATAGGGAAATATTGAAGTATGACTTGATAAAGAATGCAATAAACAAGGGAATTCTACTGAAAAAGTCTGTTGTCTTGTGCAGTGTAATGTAAACAATACAAACTTGCGTCTCCCTCTGATGATTTGGGATATGAGGATGTGGTGAAGTGTATGGATATACATTCTGTTGGCAATTGTATCACACTGTTTTTTTTCTTTCCATTTTGCCCTGAGTTATTCATTTGTAGAAGCTGTTTGATTCTTAATATGCTGTGAATCATTTTCTACTAATATCTCTATTTTTAACATTATCTATTTTTCTTGCTCTGCTTAACTTATGGCATGGATTGAATCCTCAATGTTTGTTTGCTTGTTTAACTAATAATTTTAAGTTTCTGAATACAAGACAAGAATCGTTGAATAAAATCCATTCATCTTTTTTGCAGGAGGCCCTTAAATAAAGTAGAAGATGACCAACCCAAAACTGAGTTGACAAATTCTACGTCACAAATAACAAAAGTGAGTGTAGGCACAAGTATACAAAATAGTACTAGTGGTAAGTTGAAACAATTTTCCTTTTTATTTCTCTTCTAATATTCTACATTAGATTTTTTTCCTTTTTAGTGTTTGCAATTTTGAAAGATGTAAACTTTTGGGGTGGGGTAGGGGAATCTGTCGTAGTACAGAACTAAGAGACCAAGCTGCTTTTCATGACTCTTCTCTGTAGATAACAGAAAACTAAAATAGTACAGTAATTAACCAAATAAAAAAACTAACTTTAGGATGTGAAGGGGGGATATAGAATTTTTCGACCAACAGTAAATAGAAAAAAATTATCTTCTCTATAAAGTCTTTTGTTGAATTTTTTTATTTTATTAGTTACCCTGTATTATTATTTTCTTAGAGAAAATGTTTACATGTTGCTTTTATTTTATTCTTCAGTTTCATCTTCCAACAGTGATTTATCAAAGAAAGAGGAGCAACCTACAACCAAAAATTTGCTTACGGTAATTACTAAATAAACAACTATCCTCAATTGTGGGTAGCTATCAGCTTTAGCTTCTGATGCTCTTGACTGGACTGCATTTGTTGTCCTTTTTCTCAAGTTGTACATAGCTGTGTGTGTGTGTGTGAAGATTTGAGAGAAAGCTAATGGGGTATTTTCATTTGAAAGTAAAACTCTTTTACTACAGCTGAATCATTTTAATAAAGATAATTATATACAAATAATGTGTAAACAATGATAATCAATCCTAAAATCTGAAAAATTATATATGATAAAAAAAAATATAGTTTTAAGGTATGCTATATTTATGTGTAAAAGGGATCAATACCATGGATAGATCATGTGGAAATAAATAGACAATGAGGTCAACTCCAAGTGGCAAGTCTTTTTCATGTTTGAATGCAATCTTCAGCCATCTGTGTTGAATAGTAGTCATTGGGCTATTATGGGTAACAAGATCAGATATTTCTGGTTTATTGTCTTGTCCTAATTGTTAATGGTTATATTTTAAACTATTTTAAAGGCTATTGTGTAGAAATAATTAGCGGTCAGAATATGATTATTTTACAGCTATTTTATAGGGTTTTTGTTAACTTTAAGTTATTATTTTTCATTGATTACTTAAGAGTATTTTATAATTAGTAATTATTTGCTGTTGATTTTTTTATTTTTTTTATTTAATGTGTGTGTGTGTGTGTGTATATATATATATATATATATATATATATATATATATATATATATATATAGTACCATATTTTCTTGTGTATAATATCACTTTCAGTATAATACAACCTCTGTTTCTGAAGCTAAAAATGGAATAAATACCCCAGAGTGCAGCCATCCATATGTAAACATTTTTGAAAAGTTGTATTATATTATCCTTTAAAATTTCATTGTCATATACATATTTCACTTTAATTTTCCACAGTATTAAAGAATAGAAATAAACTAGATGATTAGCCATTGAATATTTCTTCTAATTCCTGTTCCAAAACTTATTTTTTGGGAAATGTGCTGACTATACATACCTGATAATATATTTTATGGTGTTAATTAATCTATCATACTTTTCTGTTTGATATGACTTTATTATATTTCTATATATTAATATACTATGGAAATAAAATGAAGAAAAAACTTTATAAATAATAAAATATCAACAAACTTTATCTTGTGAGCCAAACCGTTCCAATTTTAAACAATGTCAAAATCCCTCAAAATCAAACTCATCATAGTTGTTTACTGTTATGGTCCGGTTCCTTGTACCACGGTGATAGTCCAAGGTAGAACGAATAAAGAAGAACTCGAATATAGATATAGAATAACACAGATATATTACAAATAGGAATATATACAAAGTAGAAAGTGTTAGTACGAACAATCAGGTTTAGTAGTAATTGTCTGAACACGACTGTGTTTCGGACTGCCTCTGACCCGACTGACTGACTCGCTCACTCTGACAGACTCCTGATGGACCTCACTCCAGACTTCAGACTGAACTCCCTGCTTCCTCTTGAGGTGCAGTATTTATTACGTATGGAATAGTCTATTATGTTATTATGGGTAAGGTCCCATAACACCCCCCCTTCCAAAAATTTTGCATAGCAGTGTTTTTTTTTGAATATCTTTTTTTTTCTTTGGATCTATTTCCAAAGGTTCAGTAAATTTTCTTTTTCTAGATGATTTTCTTGGTTCTGGCATTATTTGTGGTCTTGTTATATCGAATGTGTTTAATCGTGTCCAATACCCCTTCTTGAGGTGGACCGTTAGCATCCTGTAACGGGTCTCTTCCTTATTTGGTTTACGTGTCTTCTGTGTGAGAATTTTTTTCCTTGAACTATGTACATCATATTGCCAATTCTTTTCTCAATTATCCCTTGTTCCCAGCAAAGAGGTATTATTTTTGTATGCCTTAAAAAAACTTTTTCCCCTGGGAGGAATTTTCTTTTTGGTGTGTAGGACTGTGTTACTTGTTTTGTTTTACTTTGTAGTAATTTATCGAATGCTGATCTGATTTTCCTAGCAAACATGATATCTGCTGGTGATAATGTTGATGTTGTCACATTATTTGGTGTTATTCTATATACCTGTAGGAATTGCTGTAATGCTTTCTCCATAGGCACATTGTACACTTTTCGTAATGCTCTTTTGAGAGTATCCACGAATCTCTCCGCTTGTCCATTTGATCTTGGATGGTAAGGCGGGGATTTTATATGTTTTACTTGATAGATTTCGCAAAACTCTTGGAAATCTGACGTGAATTGCGTTCCATTATCTGTTACTAAACAGTCCATTACGCCAAACCAAGCGAATAGTGGAGGGAATTTATGGTCGTTTCTGTAGTAGGATTTTTGCACCAAAACACCTCCGGCCATTTACTGTAGCTATCAACTATGATTAAATAGTAGAACCCATCAATTGGTTCTGCGTGTATTCTTGACAATGGACAATCAGTTTCGGGCCAAGGCTTATGTATGATTGGCAGTGCTTTATCTGCTAAATTACAACCCTTGCACATTTCCACCATTTGAGAAATATCCTGGTCCATATTCTTCCAATATACATAGCTTCACATTAGCAACTTCATTCTATTTTTACCCAGGTGTCCTCTGTGGAAATCCTTTAGTATCCATTTTTGTAAAGTTTTGGGGATTACAACCCTTTCATTGTAAAGTAGCACATTATCGCATAGAGAAAAGCTGTCCGAAATTTTCTCATTTTCTGCTATTTTTGCTTTTGTTTCATTAATAAATTTGTCATTTTTGGCTTCATTTTTTATGTCTTGCAATGTGACTGGGAGGTTTCTGACTGTACAACATAGTACTGTTCTTATGTCTTCTTTATTTCTAAGGGCTGCAATTACCATATCTTTCAATGGCTCTGTCTTTGTTAGTATAAGTCTTGACAGACCATCCGCGTGCCCGATTCTTTTCGTTGGTAAATATTCCAATCTGAAATTATAGTTCAGAAGAATCGTTCCCCATCTAAGTAGCCTATTTGCCGTGTACACCGGTAGACCTTTTTTTGAACTAAAAATTTTTATTAAGTGTTTGTGATCCGTTGCAGAGTAAAGTGTCTACCATAGACATATCTATGGAATGTAGTTACTGCAAAGATAATTGCTAGAGCTTCCTTCTCAATTTGAGAATAGTTTTTCTCAGCTGGTAGTATGGTTCGAGAAGCATGTGCGATAGGTTTTATTGTCCCATCTGGCATTTTATGTAATATAAACGCTCCGACACCGTAGGCGCTCACATCACTTGCTACAATAATTTCTAGTTTAGGATCATAGTGTGCCAAAATTAAATCCGATGTTAATGTCTTGATTATTTTTTCGAATGTTTCCTGGCATTGATCTGTCCACTGCCAAACTTTTTCTTTCTTTAGCAGTTCGTTCAATGGTGCGCGAAGTTTTGCATTTGAGGTATGAATTCCTGGTAGTAATTCACTAATCCAAGAAAACTTTGTAGTTCTGTTATGTTCTTAGGAACTGGCATCTTTTTTATTGCTATAGGCCTTTCAGGGTCTGGACGTCTACCTCCTTGGTCTATTATATGGCCAAGGTATTTAATTTCCTTCATGAAAAAATCACACTTATTTTCTTTCACTTTGAATCCGTAGCTTTGAATTCTCTTAAACACTTCTTGTACATGTTGCCAGTGTTGTTCAACGCTTTCGCTATTAATCAATATGTCATCCAGATATGCTATTGTGTATTCTAGTCCTGCCAGCATCATATCCATTGTCTTCTGGAAAATAGCCAGCGCTACTTTAATTCCAAATGGTAGTCTTTGGTATCTCTACAATCCCTTGTGTATGTTTATGCATAGTAGTTTTGAACTTTCTTCATCGACTGGAATTTGCAGGTAGGCCTCACTTAGATCAATTTTTGAAAAATATTTTCTGCCATTTAATTTAGTGAATACTACTTCCGGACTAGGTAGCGGATAGTGGTAGTCATTTATTGGTGTGTTCAAACCTGTAGAAAAATCAGCACAAACGCTAATTTCTCCTGATTTCTTAACATAGACCGTCGGTGCGGCCCATTTGCTGTACTCTACTTTTTTCAATATGCCCGTATTTTTGAGTCTATCTTGGTCAATCTTTTCTATTGACGCAAATGGTACACTCCTTTTTTTTTTTTTTTTTTTTTTTCTTGAAAATAGGTTGAACGTTATCCTTTATTTTGATATTAGCTGCCATTTTCTTGCATCTTCTGAGACCTGCTGAAAATACTTTGGGGAAACTCGTTTTTAGTTTTCCTTTTAATTTGTCTGCTTGGTTGATAAGCTTTTTACATTCTGGCAGTAGGTGCTAATAGGTAGATCCCACAATTCAATTTTTTGCATCCAGTCTGTCCCGAATAGGTTTCGGTATTTCTTAAGGCGTACATTTTTAGTTTTTCGTCATTCCATTAAATGTTACGTTTGTGATTATTTCACCCTCGAATTTTATCTTTCTCCCGTAACTGATCTCATAATTTTATTTTTTTTAACATGACAGGTTTGTTCAGTTTTCTCCATGTTTGTAGATTTATGATAGTTAAGTCTGAGCCAGAATCCAGCTGTAACCTAACTTTTCTGTTTTGCATTTCAACTTGTACATATTTTCTTATATTAGTCTAATCTGTTTGGTCGGTCCTTGTAATTCTTATTCTGCTTTTTTTTCTATACCAACAGTGAGAACTTTTGTGACCAATTTTTTTACATGATAGACAAGTTTTATCACGATATGTACCCAATGCCAAGACCCACAACGATAACATGGACTTGGTAGTAGTTTCTTTTTATATTGATTATAATTAGAAAATTTTGTTTTACCTGTTCTTGAGGTGGGAAAATCAGTTCGGTTTGTTTGTGAGGAGGGAAAATTTATTTGTCTTCATACTTTGCGTATGTATGCTATGCCAGCTTTTTCTATGTCTTTAGAGTCTTTTTTTTATGTTGATGCATCTCTGGCAGTCTTCGACTAGTTTTTGAAGTGTCAGATCTTGTTCATTTTCCAATTTAGTAAGTATTCTACATCTCATTTCTGCGTCTTTGGTTGAAAACAGCCCTTGGACGTAAATTAAGCATTTGAAGTTGTCAGCGCTGAGTTCCGATAATCTAAAGTCATCACAATATTTATTAACAATGGATGCGAAAGTTACATAATCTTCGCTATCCTTTTTTGTAAGGTTCATGCATTTAAATCTTTTATGAAATAGTGAAGTGTTATGGCTGAAAAGTTCCCTTAGCAATTTTATAGATTCTTTGAACGTTAACTCGCTTGTTTTTCTGGGAAGGATATAATCAACGAATTTGGTATATTCGCCTGTGCCTAATTTTCTTAATAAAAGGCGTACTTTACGTGCGTCTGACCAATCTTTGCAGTCAAAATCATATAGATCTTCATACCTTCGGAAGTAATTTGTAAAAGTTTTATCTTCATTGGGTGCATACTTGAAATCTTCGATATTACTCCAAATACCATCTTGAGAGTACTGATTCGTTCTCGGGTTTTTGCTCCTTATTTGCCATTGCACGTATCAATAATTCTTGCATTTCTAGATGTTTTTGTTCGTACCTTTGTTGTTCAAACTGGATTTTGATAAGTTCCATAATGGTTGACTTAAAATCTTCCATGTTAATGTATTTTTTTTGTGTAACCTGATATTCTGTAGCTTGTGCTCGCAAAAAAACTTTCCTTTGTTGTCGGTGAAATTTGATATCAAGATTTTTTTTTTTTTTTTTTTTTCTAGAATTTAATCGTTGTCCACTGTTACATAAGACAGATAGCAAAAAAAAAAAAAATGTCCTCCGAGTAGGGAGTTTATTTTTCTTTAAGGGTTTTCCAGATCGCCACTTGTTATGTGTGACATATAGCAAAAAAATAAGTCCTCCGTGTATAGTCGTATTTCCTTTTTAGGGGTTTCTTCGTCGTCACTAGTTATGTTGACGAGAGATGATTTTGTTGTTTGTTCGTCATGTGAGAGTTCGAATCTTCGTCGCCACTGTTATACTGTGGCGAACAAAAAAATTTTTTTTCTTCCACCAAATGAGTTCAAATCACTCGCCGCCACTGTTATGCTGTGGCAAACAAAATTTTTTTTCTTCCACCGAATGAGTTCAAATCGCTTGTCACACTGTTATGGTCCGGTTCCTTGTACCACGGTGATAGTCCAAGGTAGAACGAATAAAGAAGAACACGAATATGGATATGGAATAACACAGATATATTACAAATAGGAATATATACAAAGTAGAAAGTGTTAGTACAAACAATCAGGTTTAGTAGTAATTGTCTGAACACGACTCTGTTTCGGACTGCCTCTGACTCGACTGACTGACCGCTTCGCTCTGACTTCTGACTGACTGACTGACATGCTAGGCTCTATTTCGACTGACTGACATGCTCTTTGAGGCGCAGTATTTCTTCTGTCGACTGACTGACATGCTCGCTCTGACTCGGTGACTGACATGCTCGCTATTGACTCGGATTGACTGATATGACCCTATATATACTGACATGCTGTGGTTGACTCGATTGATGACATGCTCAATCATACTCGAAATGACATGCTTATTCTGACTCGACTGCCTGACATGCTCGCTCTTTTCGCTGACTGACATGCTCGCTTGACCGACTGACGATTGACTGATGAACCACTCTGACTCCTGGCCGGACCTCTTTTCCAGACTTCAGACTGAATAGGATTTAGTCACACACCCCACCCCCACTGGGGCATCATGTGGCACAAGGCCAAATTTAATGTGGGATCTCCGAGCCCGTGGGCTCAGCCAAAAATATTCCCTTTGAACCCATATAAATGGGTTCAGGGTCGATTTACCTCCCCGAAAGAGACTCCGCCCTTCGGCATAGCCTCGTTTGGGTTCCTCCCCGCCCGAAGGCAGAGAGTTCAACCGATCAGCCGGTTGTCCAACTTCAGGCTGAACTCCCTGCTTCCTCTTGAGGCGCAGTATTTATTACGTATGGAATAGTCCATTATGTTATTATGGGTAAGGTCTCGTAACATTTATATATCTATTTTGTATTGTTTAAGTTTTCTCAAATCTTTTGAAATGTTCAAAGTCGATAATTTGTGTAAAGCAGAGGAATATGAAGCAACCACCACACAGTATGGGAATTATGACCTAATTTCTCAAGCGGAAAAAAAAAACACATAATGTGCATAATTTATACAATAGCTAAACAAATAGGTTGTAACATTAATGTTATCAAAACATAACAGGTCTTGTGTATTGCCTTTATTTGTTTTTTACTCAATTTTGGTGACTTTCCGGTCTTTGAGATAAAAGACGTTCAATTACGCTAATTCCCAAAGAATAAATATTCCTAACATATCAAATACTTTTTGTAAACAATTATCAACACCTGCCTTTGTTTTTTATAGATATATATACTAGTGAACATATGCCATCAAAAATGATGGCTTATTTTTTTTTCATCTGTTGCAGTTGTTGATAATTGGCTTCACTGAACAGGAGATTATTTATTCTATCAACTCTGTTTTCTGCATTTCTCATAATGCCAGTATTCTCAATTCTTCTTTCATTGCGTTGCTTGTCTGTTTCTTGTCAAAGAAGTTCTTCCATTCACATTTCTCATATTTTCTCTTTTTGTGTTAGATTCTTCCTCTCTTTCATTTTGTCTTCTTTGCACTGTGCTCATCCTATTACCCTCTTATTCTGTCTCATCTCCTGCCTTGTGCTCTTATTGCTTCATGGCATTTCTGTGATGCCTGTGAATATCTTTGCCTACTAGCCTTCTGCTGTGCCCTTATCTGATCCTGAAATAGGTGTAATCACTGCCTTTGTTTTTGCTCTCGTTCTAATTTCCTCCTTTCTTCCATGGAATTTTTCATTTTATGATGTTCACTGGACAAAATTTAAATTTGATTCTACATTTATAGAGCAAGTTTGTGTTGAATCCTGGATACCAATGCAAAACTAAAATGTATTTAAATAATATGAGAACCCATAATTACAATTAAGTTTATATTTAGAGGGTAAAAGTGTGTCAAATCTAGGATATTATAATTCACATATTCAGATAAAATATAGTGACTGATGCATTTTCTGCATCAGCATTAATAAAAATCTGTGATATATTTGTTTGAAAGTAATTGTTACCTTTAAATAAATGCAATGGTATCTACAATTTATTGATTACTCCTGGTATTATATGAATCACTTTTTATCAATATCTTTTCATGTTAAAAATTTAGCAACAGCACAACAAAGATGGCGACAACAAAGCCTAGTTCGAGACCAAGTTGAAGCAAGACGATCACTTAGACAAAGGTATCTGAGTGCCTAACATAAAAGGCTTAAAAAAAAAAGACTGCAATCTACGAAATGCAGAAGTAAAGGAACTGATTAATTAAACAATTCCTTTTGCTCATGAACTAATTTTTTCTGAATGCAGATAAATATTTTTGTGTAGATTATAATGTCTAAGCGAAGTAATTACTTATAAAGTTAACTAACTTAAGTTGAGTTACCTCTCTTCTCACCACAGATGGGAAAGGAAATATATAAATAAATAACCATTAATTATGATTTGATGATTATGATTGTGCTGAGTGTATTTGCAATCTTATTGTTTCAATTAAGGTTTTCAAGCTGAGTAAAAATTTCTGAAAACATGTACTATGACTCCCCAATTTGCTTTTAATTTTCGTTCAAAATTTCTCATAATTTTCACAAGAAAATATGGTATATAGTTCTATTTTTGTCAATATCATTTCCATTTAGTAGTCCTTTTTTTTTTTTTTTTTTTCATGATTTTCTCTTTTATACTAAAATGTTTTTAATATTTTGCTATAGTCAAATCATTTGCAATACATTTACATTACGTATATTTTATTTGTAATGTTTTTATTATTTTCTGATTTTGTTTCTGTATATCAATATTATTACTTCTATCAGTGCTCAATGGTATTTTTGGTTTTTCTGTTCCCAACTGCCAGAATTTGCTGTCTTGTTATGAATAGTGAATGATTGGTTTGTTTTTATGACTTATCAAAAGCAAAATCATATTTTGTTTTTGTGAGTGAATATGGCAGTAAAAATTATTCAAGAAAAGCAATTATTTTTCCAGATAAAATTTCATATCTGGGAGGGAGGAGTGAGATTCATATTTTTCCCAAGGGTATTTGGACACAAATGTAACAAACCTGACTAGCATTAGAATTCTGATTTCCGATTTCTTCGTCCAAGCCACTAACAATTACACCAACCGCATATGCTGTAAAGTGGATGAAAACTGATCGATTTGTTGAATAAATTTTATTTTTGATATTGTTGCATATGAGTCATGCCAGGAAAATACCAGAGGTCTGAATCAAATTTAATGTCAATAAAAAAAACCATTGTTCTAAGAGGAGTTGATCAGAAGTGAATAAACAACAATTTTACTTATGAAATATTTAGTCTCATATTCTTATTAGTCTTTAGAATGATAATGTAATAATGTTATATCACAGGCAGGATAAGCATTAAAATTATTTGCTTTTTAGTTAATTTTTCATTAAACATGGTATTTTTTATTAATTTATTTTCTAGCAAATAAAAATTGAAATTAGCTGGAATCAACAGCTTGCCCTAAAATATTGTAAAAAAGAACTGATACGATTCTTAGTTACACTAAGAGTTTAATTTAAAACTATTCTTACTGGTTCAATGTTTTGATTTCTCAAAGAGAGTTAATCCCGTTCACTTAATTTTCTTCTCTTTTTCTTTACAGCCAAGGGAAGAGATTGTAATGGTGGTGTGTCCCAACTGTGGCATTTCTAGTAGACACTTACAAAGATGTGATCGCTGTAAAAAAAAGATACCTGAAAATTCCAAAACTGTCAAATACTCTCAAGTAAAAAAAGAAGTCATCACTGTAAAAAAACCTGATTCGAACTTGACATTGGAAAAAAGGCAGTTTTATTCAAAGAACATTTCTGATCAGGTGTCTGCCTTCAGTTCTCCAGAATCTCTCTCCAAATCTACCAGTATAGGTTGCTCTACAGAAATAGTTAAACCAGCCCAGTATTCCAGGGTTCGAATAATTCCCAGGAATCGGAAAACTAATACTTTACACAATATCAAGCCTCATGTACCAGGTAAGGTTTTATTTTTTTTTATTTTATTTATTTTATTTATTTATTTATTTTTATCACTTTTAATTGATATATTGCAAAAATATTTTCTATCTAAATCTCTACCTCCAAATAAAACTCCAAAAATTATGACAATGACTTTAATTTCTTTTATTATATTTATATGTATAACCCATTAATTCTTTCCTCTCTCTCTCTCTCCAGTTTTATTTATTCTTTTGTCTATTTTATAACTTTTCAAACTTTTTGCTTTTGAATTTTTTATAATTTGCATAAATAAAACCTGACAAAGTTAATTTGTTATGTTTTTTAAGCCTATTACAATGTTTCCAGGGTAAAAATTGTGTCTGTGGCATTTGCTTAATATTAGAGTTAAAATTATTTTCTTAGATTCTGAAAAATCAAACATGTAGAATTAACATTTAATTAATCACTAAGACTGTAATATCACTGGATCAAAATATAAATTATGAATGAGGTTCTCTTGGTCATCTTCTAAGATGAAATGTTGTCATTTTTATTGCTATATTCAAAACAACAGTTTCTGCAATTAAATCTTCTATTCAGGAATTGCAATCAAATTAACCATATATATTTTTGTTCAGATAAAAGCATCTTTTCTCTATAAGATTTTAAAATATTATATCCTGGAATTTTAAAGTTGTAAACATGTTTGAAATATATACAGAGGTGTGCAGAAGAAATGAGGCAATTTGCTAAGAAGTTTTAAATATTTGACAATATACTTTCAGGATTAGTATCTGGTCATTCAAAACTAATGCAAGTTGTTGGGCTCTGTTGGCAGGGCTTCAGAATATGTCGACTGCACCCCTGCAGAGGGTAAAAGTCCCTCAACGGGGCCACCTGTTGGCTGTGGGTGGCAACCCATGATGCCTGGGGACAGGATCCTGGTGGTTGAGCAGGTCGTGAATCGGGTGAAAATTTGTCACTGCCATGCAACACACCACTTTGCCCTTTACCTGGGCTAGACAGGAGGTCAGAGAGGCCTGATCCAACCAATCGGCTAGTCACGTCGAGCCCTAACACCTATCCTCACGAAATAAATATCTTTCAAACTCTTTCAAAACAACGTGATATTCCCTAAATAAGTGTCAGAAGGCAGTGGCAAGGGTCAGTCAATTAGTACATACAAATCAGCCACATCAAGGAGTAAATAAAAGTTTTCATAAAAACAGGTAAGAAAACAAAAACACCAGATATGCTGGCAAAAATGCTAATAATATGAAGATGGTGGGGAGCAAGAGATGAAGATAAAAACAAACCCACATGGCAACAAAAAAGACCCATATCAAATCAAGTTCAGACGAGTCAGAGCATGAACTAACACATCATCAATTCATAATATTAGAATCTATTGAAAATACTCCTCTTACCAAAATGTCTCCTTTTAAAATAGAGAAAATCATCTCAACCAACATCCAAAAACCAGAATCTGTGAAAAATATGAAGAATGAAACAATACTAATTGAAGTATCCAAAAATACACATGCAAAAAAAAATATTAAACTGGACAACCTTTGACATGATAAAAATCAAAACATAGCTACACGAAACCCTAAATTCATCCAAAGTAGTAGTGAGAAGCCATGAACTCTCACTATGCACCCTGGAAGAGATAAAAACAAGTAAAAGATGTCAAAAGAATGACTATTAAAAAAAAATGGTACACTTATTGAAACCGACACATATATATTTAACTCTAACTCTCCTGTAATACCCAGGGACATAAGAATTGGATATTCAGTAGCAAAAGTGGAGACCTACATACCAATGCCACTTAGGTGTTACCGATGTCAAAGATACGGACACCACAAAGAAACTTGTGCTAGAGATCCAGTGTGTAGATGTGGAAATACAGAAACTGAACATCCAGAAGATTGCAGTGAAAGACCTAGTTGTCCAAACTGCAAAGAAGAGCACAACTGCAGGCTCAAGAGAATGTAAAGTATGACAGAAAGAAAAGGAAATCAACAAAACAAAATATTCATAAAATGTCTTTCTTTGAAGCAAGAAAAATTGTCGAAACACAGACACCCACAATAACATATGCTGACCTCAGAAAATAAACATCCTGAATATCCAAAAAAAGAAACAGAAAAATCTAACTACAAATCTGAAAAAATCTCAACCTTAATAGATAACCTGAGAATTCTACTTACTGAACTAATCCTAATACTCAAACCTGAAATGATGACAACAGCAAAAAATAATCAAAAAACAACTGAACACTCCACATCAAATACCACAAAACAAACTCAAAAAGAGGAAACCAAAAGCCTCAGCAGAAGGCAAACAGAACTGCAAAAACAAGACAAAGAATCTACAACAAACAACCTGAAAACTCAAAACAGATCTTTACTTCTCAACAAAATAGAACAAGAACAATCAGAAAACACAACCACAACTGAACTCTCGAAAAGAACACGCCATGGAAAAGATGTGACTCGAAAAGACACACAAACTCATAAGAAAAGTCAGCCGAGCCAACAATTGACTTCCAAGAAGAGATCAAAAAGCCAAACAAAATCCTCCCCGGAAAAAAAGAAACAAAACAAAAACCCTAGAAACATGACATTGAGAATACCCCACCATCCCTAGAAGAGATGGATATATCATTAAAAAAAAAAAAAAAGCCAAAACCCAATGAACTCAAGATCACACAAAATTCTACAATGTAACTGCAGAGGAGTGAAGGCAAATATAAATGAACTACTGTTACTAATTACAGACCTAAACCCACAGTATGTCTTCAGGAAAACTTCTTGAATAACAATATGATAAATATAAAAGACTACCAACAATATAATTAAAAACTCTAGTCTTCGAGCTTCAGGGGGTACATCTATTCTAATCAGAAATGACATACCACAAAGTCTTATTGTCTTAAAAACAAATTTACAGGTAGCAGTGGTGTATTGGATAACGACTCCAAATTAGAAATTGGAAAGATGAGTTCCAACTCCAGTCGGTTATGTTATATTTACTTACTATACTTTCTCCAAAGGTATTTGTAGGTATCTCCTTTTCTCCCTTCAGCTATGGGTTAATCAGTAGGATATGTATCAGTAAATCATTACCATCTTCGAAATATTCTTACAATCTAAAAATATTTTTCTGGTTTTAAAAAACCCCAAAAGTTTGATAAGCCATAAAAAAGAAATTAATCAATCTAGTCTGTATATAAGTTGCCACACATTCAGGTACATTCTCCAAAGTTCATAAAGTTTTTTATTTGATAATCTTTAGTTATTTTGAAGAATGTTAATGTTATTAATTACAATAAAGAAAAGGTTTTCATTAATTTCATCCTGGCATTTTTATAAATACTGTAATTTTAATTTAAATGTACATAATATCAAATGACATCATGTAGAGAAGTAGTTGTAACTATATGTAAAGGATTTACTTTTCTTTTCTTTATTTTTTTTTTTGTTTTTTTTTTTTTTAATCAAAACTCTTGTATCTGATGACAAATGTTCTTGATAATAACTAGCAGTGCTAAAAATACTCAAAATACAGGGTGCAGCAGTAATACCTCCCACATAATGTTAAGACATTAGTAGCAATGGTGTCTTCATCTAGCTACTAATATCTTACCATTATGTGGGAGGTATTTGTGCCACACCCTGTATTATGAACTTTTGGCAGATTCTTCATGGATTTGTTTTGGATGTACGACTTCATACAACTGAAAAAAGAAACAAAAAATTTGAATTGTCAGATCTTGTGAGTTTATTTCAATAAAACCTCAGGTGGTACTAAAAGTTCCACTTTCCCTTAAATCTAACCAAACATAGGACTTCATAGTTGAGCTGAGAACTTTTCAGCATCCCAAGGTTATTCATTATCTCATACCTCTGCTCTTCTCTCACTCTTTACCATTATATTTTCATTATCTCCCTTATTCCTTCCAATCTTTGTTGTTCATTCATGTTTTTATAAAAATGTTCTACATGGAATAGTTTCATGTGTAAATAATTGATACATGAAGGAATCCTTTCTCTTCTCTTCCTTTTGCTTTGGATTATGGCCATATCACATTGAAACACCAGTTCACATACAATCATCAAATTTAAGCAACGTCAAGCCTAGTCAGTACCTAGATGGATAACTGCTCTGAATTGGAAATCAGCAAGAGTCAAGTTTCAATTCCATTTGAGTTTATATTCACTTATGAGCAAATACTCTTGGGAGAGATATGAATCCACCCATTCTCCCCCACCAGCTATGGGTTAATTTGAGGACTTGTATCAGTAAATATCATTATCTCTAAAAAAAAAAAATTTACAATCTAAAAACTTTTTCTGGCTTTGAAATATTGTTATTGTTGTTCACTACCTGCATTGTATAAATTAGTTATACAGCACAAGCAACTAGACCATTAATTTATTCAATTTGCTATCGTTTCTCTTTCAGAAACAGTGACTATATCAGATGATGATGAGCCTCCTCCATCAGAGTCATCTGAAAGCCAATCAAAGCCTTCTGACTCTAGTGTGCAAACCCCCTTAAATAGTCGTACAGTGGCCAATACCTCCAAATCTGACCTTCCAGAAGATGACGATGACCGCTGCGACTCTCCCATATTTCCTGCTATTTCCACAAATTTATCTCTGGCAAATCGGTCCAGGTGTAATCGTATGGAAGATGAGGTACATTTCTTTCCTGGATCTTACGGGGTTTTTTTTTTGTTGTTGGTTTTTTTTTTTTTTTTTGACTGGGAACATCAAATGAAATGTTTTGCAATTTTGGCATGCCTTTTATATTACTTTTGATGCTATGTTGAGAAAATGAGTTCATAACAATATATAAATGAATGGCTAAGGCAAACATTCCAGGAATCTCAATATAT